AGAATGTAGAGATATGATAACAACCTGTCACCCAGTTGTCAATATCTACAATCACGTGACATCCCATGTCATCGTGACATTTTTGTCCGGCCACACAGACAGGAAAATACACGAGGGCTTTAAAGTGGGGAGAAACACGAGTTTGATGGGAGGGAAATTCGGGGTTAAAAGTGTGAAATAACAATTTCTCAGGTGTGGAGGGAAGAATAAAGAGCAAAATTTGGAGAAAAACCAGACCCCAATATTGAATAGCAGCCACCCCTCACCCTGCTTTATTGCATGTGATAAACGAAAAGGATGAGGTAAATATAGATAGCGGCTTGCCAAAACTAGCAGCAGCGGTGTTGCAGAGGCCACAGAAGACAGTAAACAAGCAATAATTGAATTTGACAAAAGACCGAAATCAAAGCGAGACTGTGAGAGGAACGCAGCGGTTCGATAATAAAATAATTTCATAGTGTGAGTGTGTGGGTTTGTAATGTGTGGGTGGGATGTGGGAGTGTGGTAAGGTTGGGGGATGTTGGCGTGGGAGATGGGGGTGAATACCGCATGAAAGTATGAACTTTTATAGCGAGGGCTTAAAATAGCCGTGAGAGATGGTCCCGAGATTATATCTTGCCAAGACAACACTGTTTACCATTAATTTTATCATGGTAATAGGATAGAAAAAATGGTAGTGGTCGATTGGCAACAGTTACTATCTCTGCTGAATATGTACGCAAATAATTATACATAGATACCTATCGGCACATACACTCACACTCCAAACACGTATATGCAATCACACACACACACAAAAACATATATATATATATATATATATATATATATATATATATATATATATATATATATATATATATCGTGTCAATGTGTATAAGTACAAGTAAGTATATGTCATGTTTATGTGTGTATCTATACATAAATGTATAAGACGTGTATTCGAATATGAATAAGTATGACATGTAAAATAAGTATATGTATGTATTCAAGGATATAATGTATCTGTATAATTGTATATAAGGATGGATGGATACACTAACACACGTATAATATGTATGTATGTATATAGTTTATCATGGAGTAGACTTTGAGCCCATGCCTCGAATATAGGATGCTATATTTTGATCTTTGTCAAAACTGGATCAAGTAACAGTAATTCGATCAAGTAACGATAACTCAGAGCGCTCCATAGAGACATTGGGACAAATGCTTGAATCAGCATTAATTACGCAACAGATATTTTGAGCCAAGACATCACGGGGTTTTAAAAAAGTCGGATAATTTTTAGCTTTCGCTGAATAAAACACGAGAAGACATGAAACAAAAAAAAAAATATTGTTTACGTTTGAGGCTAAAAATACTCACAAACAAGATTTGGTTTTTATCGTCAAACTCCATCCCATTGGACGTTTGTCTACGTCTGCTAGGGTTTAATGCTGGATCTTAGGTGATCGTAACAGAGTATAAGTCAGCTGCATAATGTCATCTGATTGTTGGTCACGTGTTTGATGTCATTTGACTGTTAGTCGTCTGTCTGATGTCATGTGGTTGTTGGTCAGTTTTCTGATGTCATTTGACTGTTGGTCGTCTGACTGATGTCATTTGGCTGTTGGTCGTATGCCTGATGTCATTTGACTGTTGGTCATGTGCGTGATGCCATTTGACTTTTTTCGTCTGCCTGTTGGTTACTTGTCTGATGTCATATGATTGTAGGTCAGCGGTGTGATAGCACATGAAAATGGCTAAACCGTGGTTAACCACGTAAAAATGGCTAAACAGTGGCTATAACAGTGGCTATCCCTTCATCACGTGACTAGTAACCAGTCGTTAGCCGGCGGTATATCTGATCAAACTTAACAATGGTAATTGTAATTAGACTTAATTGGCGCATTGACTCATGCATGCTTTCACCAACCTACTGGCAGGTAATTATTAAATTAGGGGAGACGGGGCGATGAAGGGGAGATGTGTGAAGAGGGACATTGGGGAAATAGTTGCCTGAAGGTTAGGTAGGAGGTGTGGGTGTGGGGTGGGGGGGGGGGGGTGGGATCGAACAGGAAATGAAATGAGTAATGGGAGGGGGGGGGGGTAGCAGTGTGAGTGAGGGGAGTGATCTCATAGGGAAGTAATCCATGAAGCTATTGACCTGTCCAAAATGTAGGTACTGGTCATCGAAAACTGGACGTGAGGCTACCACATATCTATGGACGTGATGATGGGGTTATGTTCGGGGTAGGGTACAGTGTGGCAGCTTGATCAGTTGGTCACGTGATTAAACGGAGGATTAGAAGTAAGTAGAGGCAGAGGGAGGGAATGGCTGTGTCATGGGACTAGTTTTCTTGGGATATGCTGGTTTGTGATACTTACATCATTTTGTGAACCTAGGCTGTTCAACACGTCATTTATTGGCATCTGGTGACCCAATACATGTGTCCATTTGTTGATATCTGGTCAGTGGGTCAGTAAGTGACACCCATTTGTTGACATCTGGTCAGTAAGTGACCCAATACATGTGTCCATTTGTTGATATCTGGTCAGTGAGTGACCCAATACATGTGTCCATTTGTTGACATCTGGTCAGTAAGTGACCCAATACATGTGTCCATTTGTTGTCATCTGGTCAGTGAGTGACCCAATACATGTGTCCATTTGTTGACATCTGGTCAGTGAGTGACCCAATACATGTGTCCATTTGTTGACATCTGGTCAGTGAGTGACCCAATATATGTGTCCATTTGTTGACATCTGGTCAGTGAGTGACCCAATACATGTGTCCATTTGTTGGCATCTGGTCAGTGGGTCAGTAAGTGACCCAATACATGTGTCCATTTGTTGACATCTGGTCAGTGGGTCAGTAAGTGACCCAATACATGTGTCCATTTATTGTCATCTGGTCAGTAAGTGACCCAATACATGTGTCCATTTGTTGACATCTGGCCAGTAAGTGACCCAATACATGTGTCCATTTGTTGACATCTGGCCAGTAAGTGACCCAATACAAGTGTCCATTTGTTGACATCTGGTCAGTAAGTGACCCAATACATGTGTCCATTTGTTGACATCTGGTCAGCAAGTGACCCAATACATGTGTCCATTTGTTGACATCTGGTCAGTAAGTGACCTACTATACCAGTCGGCCTTACTGTAGGAACCATGTGCTCACTTGTTGTTAAATCAAATTTGTCACGTCTAGGGAGGGGGTGGTGAGGCGACTATGTCCACACCAAACAAGATTAGGACTCAAAGACTCTTTGAACTACCGGAGATTCCCGTTTGGTTTGGAAATGTTTGGAAGTGGATCAGGACGACTCTAAGGGGAGTAAGTCGTCAAGCTATTGACGAGAGGGCTGTCAGGGCTGTTGGCTGATTAATGAGGAGACAGAGAGGGAGTTTATGAGCCTTGATGAGGGTGGGGAGAATGTGATAAGTGAGCAAAGGCTTAACGTAAAAGAGGAATAAAGTAAAGGGGGGGGGGGGGTTGGGAGATATAAAGAGCAGCACTGCCCCAATTTAGCCACATCAAACTAAACCCTAATTACCTATTTTCCCTAATCAAATTTTCTGTTCTAATTATTTGCTGCGGAACACAGCAGGCACTGGCGTATGCTTTGACTAGCGAACATACTCGGACATTTTACATTAGCACCTAACTCACTCGATCTGATAAAACCGGACAATTTTTGACCGGATCACCCGAGTAACCCAGTAGGCCATCCGTCAATTTTTGACCGGATCACCCGAGTAACCCAGTAGCCCATCTGTCCCCAGGGGAGGTGACTCAAGCTGTTTACTCGCACAAAAACTGCAGCCTTGGGTGAAGACATTAGGGTAGCGAGTGCAGTTGATCGTATGCTAACCGAGGGTAGCGTAGACAAGTAGATGGAAATGGGGAGGTAATTGAGTTTTATCGCGATGCTCGCCCTTGGTATTCGATTTTTTTCTTGATTAAAACTTGGTGGTGTATGTGTTAATAAAGTAATAGAAATGCATTAGTCAGCACAATTTTCATAAGTGTGGGCAGGGGGGGGGGGGGGGGTTGGTCAAGGTAATCAGTGGGACATAGCCTGGTCAGTAAACTTTAGCCAACAAACTTGGGAAGCAAAACTTGGCCAATCAGACAGGGCCATCAAAACTTGGCCAACGTTGTCTAGGTTACCCTGACTCTATCCTCCATTACCTCCAACATTATTCATCGAAAACATCAACAACAACGACCACGTGAATCTAATTAAAGATCTTTTAATTTCATGCAGCCCGAGGTTTTGATATAATAATTATGTTTCATTAGCATTCCAGATTCCGCGCTATGGGCTGAGTTTTAAATACGTAATAAGCTATTCGATGCTTCCAGTTGCCTTGTTTTTTTATTGTGTGCGTCATTTGCCATTTTTACGGTAATTTTAAATTAAATCAAATATTTTATCGTCAGCTTGTAAATGAAAATCATACCCTTTAAAAAAACAAAGAATAAACATTAGAAATCTGTAGAAGAAATGCCAGCTATTTACAAATTGTTTATTTGATACTGTTAGTGAAGGGGGCGTGGGTTTAAAATTATAATCATTAAAGACACTTTATCCTACAACTGAAGTATCGGTGTGTTATTCGATTAGGAATGATCAGTAGATCTACATGTACATTTAAGTGTTGTAATTATTGTGGGCTTTTTGTGATCAGACACACTGTATAGACACATTAATCCAACGGACACATTTAATGACACGTTATATAGACACAGGGCATACGATTTGACCATTTTAAAAATAAGAATAGGAAATTGTTTTGATACTTCAATAAATTAAGTGCACAGCCATATTTCCCCAAAATATTAAAAGTATTTCTATTTTTTTTTAAAGATGGAACTTCAAACTTTAGAGAAATGTTATTGTTAAAGCTTTAAACAAATAAAATAAAGTTAGGCCTGATTGTAATTCTGTCATACAAAGAAGTGACATTACATTTCTTACTACATCGAGACAACACTGTTGGTGACTTACTTTTGTATTTCCGGTACGAGTTGTGGCGTCCATGCCTTGCTTCGTGCTGTTGACCACTGGTCAAGGCCACCGATAAGGTCATAATGTAAGCCAATGACGTCACGAGGGCTAAAAAGCACAGCGGCGTATGACCGGGGCTCGTGTACTCCATATCGACTGGGCCTCACCTGCAGAAAGCTGACCACCACATCTGTCGTGGTAGCTTCATCACGTGACCGAAACACAAGACCATCACCATGCTGTTACAGCGAATGTATCCCAGAATTCACATTACCCCCACCACACTAGTCACGTGTCCGCCTTGTCAAAACCTTTAAACAGAAAAAAAACACACTAAAACCTAACGCAACAGCACCACTGATCCCCCCTACACTTTAATATAAAAAAAAACTAGTTCAATAAAAAAAACATTCAAAGATATGCGATTTTGGCCACGCTCTCCTCGCTTCATTAAAGTTGTGAACATCGGCACACTAAAGAGGCATTTAGCGCCTTTTCGAGACGGCCTTGTTCATTACATAGGCCCGACGTCTTTCAAACGATCCGTTCCCCCGATAGATAAAGATCTCTTAAAGTCTATTGAGCTATGAAAAATTATTTGACAACTTTACGGCTAGGTTAACATTTTCAACAATCAACATTCGCTCTCTAGCACACATTATTTTCTAGGCTTTTAAACGTTATACAATAAATTGCACGAGATATATTTAAATGCCATTGCAACACTTTTATATGACCGGTATTGGTTCTATATTTAGACGTTAGTTGGATATGTGACTTATAAATAGCTAATGGTACACGCGATTCCTGATAGATTGGATGTACGACACGATACGGCACAAGCTAATCCACCAATTAGATCCACAAATTAGATCCACATGAATATTAAACACTGGATTTAAACAAAGAAGAGCAGAAGGCGAACTCGTTGAAGGTATATCGGCATGATGCCACAAATCAGATGCCACAAATCAGATGCCACACATCAGATGTCAGAATTGAGATATCAGATGACATGTAGTCTGGGAGCCAGACATCAGCTCTGTATAGACGATCTCCAGTAATCGATTACTCACATAATTTTTTTGTATCAGTAGTGGGGAAAAACTATTAGGTGGAGTATGATGGATTCGATCCTATTCTAGACACTTCAACTTGTACAGCAGGATCCGATTTCGCTATCCGAGCATTAGCCGGTGTTTGAGCGATGTGTTTTTGGTGTCGCTGTGTCTGGAATCTGAGGAGATGAAACACAGGGTTAGAGCACCAGGATGCTGGACAAAGGTCAGTCAGATCGGGTTGGGGATGGCTGGTAATGGGAGGGGCATGTTAGGGGCTGGACAGTCAAGGACATACGTCTTAAGCTTGTGTGGATAACTTATGTCGTGTCTAAAGAATGAGTGGATGGCAAATGTCGCAAGTGTAGGGTCTCTGTCTAGACGTTATGTAAGGTTTGTATGGTGCTATGTGAAATATGTTTATGGGTTCAGGTGCTGTGTGAAATATGTTTATGGGTTCTGGGACTTGTTGTTTGGATGGGTTGTCGTGTAGTAGGAAGATTTGTAATGTGTGTTTTAGAGATGATGTGATGTGTTTTATGGGTTATATGATGTGTTTTAGGGGTTATGTGGTGTGTTTTAGGGGTTGTGATGTGTTTCAGGGGATAAGCTACGTGTTTTAGGGGTTATGTGATGTATGCATTATTTCTTTTCTGTAAAAATAATACACGTAGATTATTCACGAATTAAGGCCGTTGTTTGATAGCATATACATTGTAGCATCCCCAAACTTCGAGCCATAGATTACTGACCCACTGGACGTGACCGAATAGAATTGTTACATATTTAAACAAACGTGTGGGCCGATAAATGCATCGGCCGTTCTGTCACGTGATTAGAACGGTATTTAAACGCATCACTAATTAGCTGCTAACTAAATCACAGGAAACATGACATGGAGGCCCCAGGGCCATGTCAAGGGAACATGGGCGTTTCCCACAGATTCGCTGACACGGTAAGGCTAGGGAATCTGCTGCGGGGGTGGGAGTGAGGGCTGGGTGTGAGGGAGTGGGGTGAGGGCTGGGGGCGAGGGAGTGGGGTGAGGGAGTGGAGTGGGAGCTGGGGGCTAGAGAGTGGGGTGCATCTCAGCCGCGAGAAGGTGCCCCCAATTAGCCAATTGGTTTTGTCCAGAGACGTTCTTAAACGAGACGATAAAATATCGATGTCTTTTTATTGATTGCCGGGAGGTGGGGGAGAGTGGGAGAACTTATACGGTGGCGTTTTATGGTGTTACAAGTAGAATGGTGGTAAGTGTAGAATGGTGGTAAGTGTAGAATGGTGGTAAGTGTAGAATGGTGGTAAGTGTAGAATGGTGGTTAGTGTAGAATGGTGGTAAGTGTAGAATGGTGGATACTTTATGGTAGTAAGTGTAGAATGGTGGTAAGTATAGAATGGTGGATACTTTATGGTGGTAAGTATAGAATGGTGGATACTTTATGGTGGTAAGTATAGAATGGTGGTAAGTGTAGAATGGTGGATACTTTATGGTGGTAAGTATAGAATGGTGGTAAGTGTAGAATGGTGGTAAGTGTAGAATGGTGGTAAGTATAGAATGGTGGATACTTTATGGTGGTAAGTATAGAATGGTGGTAAGTGTAGAATGGTGGATACTTTATGGTGGTAAGTGTAGAATGGTGGTAAGTGTAGAATGGTGGTAAGTATAGAATGGTGGATACTTTATGGTGGTAAGTATAGAATGGTGGTAAGTGTAGAATGGTGGATACTTTATGGTGGTAAGTGTAGAATGGTGGTAAGTGTAGAATGGTGGTAAGTATAGAATGGTGGATACTTTATGGTGGTAAGTATAGAATGGTGGTAAGTGTAGAATGGTGGTAAGTGTAGAATGGTGGTAAGTTTAGAATCGTGGATACTTTATGGTGGTGTGTTATGGTGGTAAGTTTAGAATCGTGGATACTTTATGGTGGTGTGTTATGGTGGTAAGTTTAGAATCGTGGATACTTTATGGTGGTGTGTTATGGTGGTAAGTGTAGAATGGTGGATACTTTATGGTGGTGTGTTATGGTGGTAAGTATAGAATGGTGGATACTTTATGGTGGTGTGTTATGGTGGTAAGTATAGAATGGTGGATACTTTATGACGGTAAGTGTGTAGTGGTTGAAGTTGCAAATTTTATAAGGTAGTAAGTGTAGAGTCGTATGTTTTATTGTGGTAAATGTGCAATGGTAATGTTATAAGGTGTGTAAAGTGTTAGTTATTAAAAAGTGGCACATGAGAGGTTGCAAATATTCTGCTTTTGTTTGAATAAATCTTAAAACAAAAATTAACTTAGATCGCTACCTGTACATGGTCAGCAAGCAATATTGGATAATGGTAAAAAAATGTTTTGTAGGAAATAGTTGCTAAAGCTGGTTTTGTCGTTGTTGGCTACTGCTAGTTGTTGACCAGCAATTAGATTTGACTTCCGACGGCTATTATAGGGCTGGTAAGTAGGTCACCAACCAGTTCTATGGCTCATGCAGGTTTTATTGAGCCGTAGAACTGGTTGGTGACCTACTTACCAGCCCTATACCTTCTGTGCATTAGTAATTTAGCTTTTTAAATTTAACTTTCCATAATTATAAACGCCTCTATCCACCCCTTCCTCCCATGTAATCTACTTTGTCAAGCTGTACTTTGGTGTTGAATTACAATCTGGAGATCTTACAAAATTAACATGAACCTTTAGATGGTAACTTTGATTAGAACAAAATCAATAACTACAATGGAATTTATAATGGAATATTGAAAAAAATCGCAGTCACCCGCTTAAAAATATACGAAGCTGTAGTCTCACTATTTAGTGTATGCCGTAACATATACATATCCCAAACACTCATCACCTATATATAAGACACTAATATTGTCAAGGAGATAAGCCTAGGCCTAAATTGTCGGCTTAAAAAAGTGTATGCGGCTCTTCGTGTATGACTAATTGGGTAGGGTTCGCAATGGTTAGGTTAACCTTCGAATGTGTATGACTAATTGGTAGGGTTCGCAATGGTTAGGTTAACCTTCGGATGTGTAAACGGTCCATCAATCCGACCCGCTGTGGCCCATTTACGTTGCCCCCACCGCAAACCTTCATCACGGTTCATTGACCCCAAACGTCGCGTGACACTGATGGATATCCGCCGCTGGACGTCGCGCGCCGACAAAGGCTGCGCATGCTAATCACGCGAGCCGGCAATAAATGACTCACGTTCTCGCACAGTCATCGTCACGCTTGACTGAATCTTCTGGAACCAGCGGTTGGTCGCTGGGACGTTAGTCGTTGGGACGTTGGTCGCTGGGATGCTAGTCGTTGGGACGTTGGTCGCTGGTCGCTGGGACGTTAGTCGTTGGGATGTTGGGACGCTTATCGCTGGGACGTTAGTCGTTGGGATGTTGGGACGCTTATCGCTGGGACGTTAGTCGTTGGGATGTTGGGACGCTTATCGCTGGGACGTTAGTCGCTGGGACGCTTGTCGTTGTGACGTTGGTCGTTGGGACGTTGGTCGTTGGGACGGTGGTCGCTGGGACGCTTGTCGTTGGGACGTTGGTCGCTCGGACGGTGGTCGTTGGGACGTTGGTCGTTGGTCGCAGGAATTTCGGTAACGAACTTTGTTTGCTGGTACTAGGATATGGACCGTAAAAATGTGTCTATTTGGTTTGCACACAGCCTGGGATATTAGAGCTAGTCACGTGACCCAACTCAATCAAATCTCGCACCTGACCGCGCTGGACGAGAGTCAAAAATGTATTCAGGAAACATTCCTGAGAGCGGGAAAACTTTCATCCGGTGACAGAGTCAACATAGAGCACTCACGAATAATGCACACGTGTAAAACACGTGTCTGATAAAACACAACGCACCGGAAGATATGCGCATTAGAAAATATGTGACACTACCAAACCAAATACAGCACTTAGAAACACACAAATGCGCTATAAGAAGACACAGCGCGCGTCACAAGTGTTTAAAAAATAGCGGTGGTTTTAAACTGCTAGAATTCGTGGTTTTAAACTGCTCAAATTCGTGGTTTTAAACTGCTCAACTGAGACTGATACCTACACAACCTGTGCCCCCCCCCCCCACCCACCCACCCGCCCAACCGACAATGGGAAATGTATGCCAAACGCAGGTTGAACTAGTTATTTTTAAAGCAGACAGTTAAAGCAGCTTTTGAGAGATGCGATTTTAAGAAGGTGGAAGAGTCTAATGCAATTTTTGTGTGTGATGTGTTGTGTGTGGTGTGTTGTGTGTGGTGTGTTGTGTGTGGTGTGTTGTGTGTGGTGTGTTGTGTGTGGTGTGTTGTGTGTGGTGTGTTGTGTGTGTGTGCACCTCGATGGGGAAGTGTGCACATGCTGACGTGTGTGTGTGTGTTCGTACATGGCAGTAAATGTGTGTACGCGTGTTTGTGTATGTGTTTGTAATCAGGTGCTCGCTATTAATTTGTAAACAAACATGAACAAAGCAGAGAGTGAGTCACATGGGCTAGTCACATGACACCAACACACCCCCCACCCCCACCCTCCTGTGCAAACAGATACTATCAAACCTTTCCTGCTAGCGGTTTCCGCGTTCATTAAAAAATTCTTTACTGCAGTGACTGATCTGCTAGGCGTGACTGTCCAATCCCGGGCTTTGTGCAACTAGGGTGCGGGGCGGTGAGGGTGTGGGGGAGTGTGTGGCGTTATTGTTTTGTACACGTGGATTAATCACCACAGTGCCGGAGCGTACAGCCAACAAAGGTGTCCAAGTTTCATCATAGTTTTACTAGTGCAGGCCCTAATGAAATATTTAAAAACGGTGCAGTAAAAACGGCGAAATAATTAATTGATACGTTTCTTTACACATTTTGCTCCAATGGCCTGCTATACAGAATGGTCGCTCCAATTTGTTGATTAATCACGACGATAACTCGACACCTGCAGTTACACAACATTAACCCCAACCACTGAACCCAAAACACGAACCCCAACCACTGAACCCAAAACACGAACCCCAACCACTGAACCCAAAACACGAACCCCAACCACTAAACCATCGAGACAAACCCCAACACTGAACCCAACAAAAACCCACCCACTAATCACAAACCCCAACCACTAGACACAACACATATCCCAACCACTGAACCCTCAAGACAAACCCCAACTACTGAACCCCCAACCCGAACCCCAACAACTGAACCCAAAA